ATCCCTCCACCGCTTAAAATACGAATCACTTACATCGATCACTATACATATAGTAAAAATACCTCAATATTAATGGTGAAAATTTAATTCAATAATCAATGATTGAACATACATATGTACATATCTGCATTCTCCTTTGCACACCCAAAGCCCTCAACATTTCCCATTTTCATGGTGAAACGAGTAAATGCTAACACTAACAGACGGGCTGACAGGGTCGAGTGCCAGGTGATTTCTATCCCTACCAAAGTCTCTTTTCCGCAGCAGAACTGAGAACCCCCATGGGTCTTACTTTTGTTGGGAACCACCATTTCTTTTTGGTTTATAACCCATAAGTTTTAAGCTTGATCCTGGGCTCTTGCCATTCAACTTGGCCGTGTCGCAAAGGTCGTTTGCTTATCAGCCGCTTACAGCAGTGGTGGCAGGTCCTTTGCGTGTCCTGTTATGTGCATACATACACACATTTTCTATATTCCTTGTGTCTGGCCAAGTCTGGCCAAACAGCCTGTCTAATATTAGCTAGTCCTTTCCCTCTCACCTTCACTGACAATGCTTAGGAATTTCCAGGAAGCGACGAGTTAGTGCGGGGGCCCAGCACAAGCCATATGCAGAACAGTCAGCCGCTAGCAGTTGGCTGGAGGGTTCAATAAACTTGTTGGCCCTCCACACAGGTTATTGACGTGCCGGCGACAATTGTTAACTTTTTATTCGCATTTGGGGCTGCGCGCCTCTTGCTTTTGCATGCGTCATGCGGAGTCATTAAACCTGGTATGTACCATACCAACATTGTAGAGCAGCTACCATCTATCTGGGAAGTATACCACAGTATTCTTTGTGCGGCTAATTGAGTTGGCCGCAGCATTGCCATGCCATAACTCTTGTTTCTGCCGCCTGCCTCCGCATCCGTTTCATATTTATTGTGCGCTGTACTCGTTCAAATTTGGGTTAATGTTTCCTATGCGCTCGCCTACGATTTCCGGCTGGGCAGCGGAATGGGCAGCGATCCACTGATTAGCAGCGGCTAAATAGGTCATCTCGGACCCCGATTGATTTGCGTTTATTTTTCCTACTCCCATACCTAAGGACATACATACATTGTACATATGTATGTATATTGTATTTGAAAAGAGCACATGGCTTTGAAAACTGTTACAAGGCCGACACTGGAATGGAAAATTCCCAAACACTGGCCCTTCGATGATGGCGGAGGCCGGAGTCTAGTCTTAGTTTGTGACGTTCTCTTTAAGATTCGTGTCACCAGAGCTAGTTATGCTAATTCCTACCAAGCAAAAGCCATTGCCACTGCAAAAACAAAAACGCTTTGGCCTATGCAAATTACAGTCAGCAATGGCAATTATGACTGGCATAATATGTTAGAAAGCCTGAAGGAAACTTAAGGATGGTGCGGGGTCACACAGTGCATTGTGTCGGCGTTCTTGGAAATAGCGTTGTTAAGCGAATGACACTAATGTAATAAATATCAAATGGTTCGGGCTTCAATGTAAAACCAATTTTAAATGACCACCGGCTGATGTACAATTGGAGATCTTGGGAATGGGATGATTAGTCATTAAATGAATCGAAAGGTATCTATTATTGGTTACAACATCTGACTTTAAGATTCATAAGGTACTAAAGTAAAAGGAAGTAACTTCCTTCCTTTGTCTACTAAATCTTTCAGTAGATTATTCGCCCTCCTTACCACTGGTGCAGATCCCATAGCGAATGATATGGTGTGTGTCTGTAGGCAGAAACGAATGGTACGGCCACCTCGTACTCCACCTGCAGATTGGGTGGCGATTGTGGACGAAGAGCCAAGGTAGAGCGCTCAAGGGCTGGATTGGAGCTGGTCAGGGAACGCTGGCGCATGAAGGGATGCTGCTGCTGTTGCTGCTGCTGTTGGTGTTGGTGGTAATGATTCGATTGGACCCCTCGGGAATTATTGTTCAACAGCTGGGCAACACCGCCGGCGGGAGCCGTCGAGGTCTGCCCCATGCCGAACCAGTTCTGGGTACTTGTGTTGAACATATCGCAGTCGTCGTCGGACGATCGGTCGGACGGATAAAAGAAACTTTACTTCAAATTTAAAGACACACACGTGTAAGAAAACGATTCATAAAAATGGATTCCCTGACAGTATTTTCTGAGCCGGGACAGCCGAAAAAACCGCACCGAAGGCAACAAAAAGTATACGGGTCGCGAGCCGAGGCGTCCACCTGACGACTCAAGGGCTGTGCACCAACTGACCACGGAACTGGACGACGCGTCCACAACAAACAGGACCAACGGCGACGACGCTGCTCGAAAGCACGGCGGGTAGTTTTGGATGAGTGTGTGTGTGAATGCGAATTGAGGTTAAAGGAAGTATTGCCTGGGCGCTGCTTGGGGGCGGTTTCAATCATACATATTCCCACGGATAGGGTATAATAACTTTAAGGAAATAAAGCTGGACAACATACATAGACAGATCGATTGGCTTTATGTCGGCTCTCATTCGGATTCCTTTAATGCTATTGCAACGGTTTCGAACAGAGTTTTACTAGTATTCCTTCTCGCTTTACATAATTATAATTAAATTCAGTTTAAAAATTGGTTTGAAAAATTGTCAAATTCTACTGGGTTTCAAGCGAATCTTGCATGGATTGCACTCTAAAATATCGGCAAATAATTTGAAAGGAAATTCAATATTCGATGTGTTTTGTTGGTTGTATTACTCAACGTCTGGCGGACAGTGGTCAATGCACGCTACGGCCAAGCTACCGTCAGCTCAAGCTGGATATTCCATCGATTTCCGTGAAAGCAAGGCGCTACACAAAAATAAGGTGGAATGTGTGTGTATTTACCCACTCAAGTAGGAACGAGTTCTTAATAATTTGCCGGCAATGTAATTTAATGGCTGGCTTGCATGCCGGGTCTCGGTCTCGAGCTGAAATCGGAGAAGCTAAAGAATAGCATACATTCGAGAGCAGCGAAAGCGGTTCTTCTGAAGTGCTCCGTCAACGGTATGAGTCTCGGTAAACGATACCGAAGGTCGCTCCGGACACATACTCATAATAACACGGCTATATCTATATCTGCAGGAGCATGCGAAATCAGCTGCAGCCGAGATAAAAATCGATGCCATAACATACGCACTCAGAATTCCGCGAAGTCAAGGAATAGACCGGCACGCCCGTGGCAGAGCTCCAGCTCCACCTCCACCTCCATCTGCTCCCCCATCCGTGCTGTGTGCTGTGGTCCCCCTGCTCACTTACCTGGCAGGACTCATCACGGGAAGGTAGGACGTGCAGTCTACGGTCCGGATGGTCGTGTTTCCACGCAGCACAATTTTCTCGCGGGTCGTCCGCCTATAGGTCGTCTCCTCGCCGCGCATCTTAGGTTTTCGATATTTCTTAACTTTTAAGCAATTTGGAATTTTCGTCACAATTTTAAAAAAGAAAAAACCAAAAATATTCTTGTTTACTTTGATCCAAAATGGTGAGTGGTGTGTTGGAAAATTTTCTATATGCTCTTCTCACAGTCAGCCGAATAATAAGGACTGAGAGCGCGAGCGAGTGGGATGGATGCTGTGAAAAAGCTCTGACGGCTCTCTCCTGTTCAGTAATCTCATAGCTTTTTCTCTCTTCTTGCCTTTTCCTCCCCCAGTCTCTCCCGGAGTGGCCAACAATTGCGCAATTTTCGACAACAACGCGACGAGGACGATTACGAGGCTGTTGCTGTGGCTGTCCTCCACTCGCATCAATGCACAAATGGTCACTAAAACGTCGGACTGTTGTGGCCACTTTCGACCACATTGCAACGGTAGCACTAGGGGGTTGATGTGATATGCATGTGTGTTGGGGTACTTGGTTTGGGAAAGCCACCAAAAATATTGCCTGTAAAGCAGTACAATAATAAATTGAATTCTAAATTTTGTATAGCAATACTTGTGATTATTTTCTGTATTTTTTGCTTGCGCGATCAGAGAATTCTTAGGTACGATTTTGTTCGGAATGAGATAGGGACATGGCGGATAAGTTTCCTCTGCTCCATACTGGCTTGGGTATATTCTAGTATATCAAGTGATTTTAAATTCTTCAGTAAGAGGTGATCTTTAGTTCCCTTCTATCAGCCAGTGATGCTCGTTTTTTTTTTGGATAAAGTAATTTATAACAGACCAATCAGAAAATCAAATTGATTGAGCTTGGCTTTTGGAGGATATGGGGAGGATATTTTCTGATTCAAACGTACGATGGAATGAAAATTTAAATTGGCAATTGAAGAGAATTGTTTTCTTAAAAAACTCTTGCACCGATTGTCACATAAAGAAGACGAGGTGTGTTTTTTAACCCACTCAGAAGAACAAATATATATGCATTTTTATTGAGACATTTTTAAAAAACTACCTAAAAAGTTGGAGAACAAGATACGATTTAAAAAACAGGTTGACTTTAAAATTAATTTCTCAATCTATTGTATTTGATTTGTTACATTTTTCTGATTTGTCTCTCGTTACACAGTACACATATCATATTTATTATTGACGATCAGAACTGGATAAACTTTGCTTCATATGTCATATGTATGTCAGTGTATACCTGGATAGTAGTAGTTGTAAATAGTATGGGGCAATCCTCTCAACACTCAACACACAGGCTGATTCTGTGTGCTCAAAATCAGTTAAAAGTAAAAAATAATATGCGAAATGAATAACCAACGGATTTGAAAGTCGTAGAAAAAGAAGACTAACTAAGACCTAGCGACGAAGTACTCATCCATAGACATGAACACAGATATATATGCGTGTATATATATATACTGTATATATATATAATTGTGTGTAAATATATATAAAACGTTTCTAACAAACACGAGGCACGTCGAAATGTAAGTAAGCAAAAAATGAAGTTGTCTAAGTTTTTGGTTTTGCTTCCGACTCGGGGAAATTTGGTGGCTTCAGTTGCTTTGTCTTCAGTTGACTTCACAAGGCTGCGTGTGTACACATTAGGGTGTACATAGTATTTATGTATGTATATGGATAGTGTCTGTTTATTTAATCTTTGAACGGTTTAACTTTCAACTAACAATAACTTTAACGTGATTCTCGTTTGGCCACGAAAATATGTGCTCCTCTCCTGTAAGACTAAAATGTGCGATACCTTAACAGCTGTTTCGTTTAGTTTAGTTTCTGTACGCTTTGTGCACTAGAGATTAGTTTAAGTTCCAAATTATTTACATCTAGCCCTACAGCGTTTCGCTTTGACGTTTTAGTGATTTGGCGAGTATTTAGTACTTTCTCCGCGACCTCGACTTCGACTTTACTGGAACTTGCGCGTGGCAGTTCGGGCCTTCCAGACCTTGACTAGATTGTAGGCGAAATACAGCGTGAATCCGTGGACCTGGAAGCCCACAAAGCAGAAGGCGTACCAGAACACACCATAGGGGTAGCCCTGCAAGCAAGAATTTAGAATTTAGTCGGTTTATACAGGAGCAGGTGTATTAGATACTCGATGGAGGTATTTTTCACTTACGCGCCAGATGAAAATGTCCGTCTCGTCCAACTCCACGGACTTGTCCATGGTCGCAAACTCCCACACGTCCGAAAAATAGTAGGCGAAGCAGTAGAGCAAGGGCAGGATGGCAAACACCAGAATGGCGATCATGTATTTCTGCATTTCGCGCACCTTATTTCCACGTGCCGCCGACAGACCCAGGAACGAGGTGAGCAGCGAACCGGCCCACACGTACTCCCACCAAAGTGGCGAAGGCACCTCCAGTTCCTCAATCTCCAGCACGAAAATGTCCAGGCGATCCAATATGTCCGAGGTCAGCTTGGCCAGCATCACGAAGAAAAGAAGAGCATGGAAGAAAATGCAGTACTTCAATCGCGATTTATTCAACAAACTGCAACGACAAGAGAAGGTTTCCACCGTGAATAGCTGTCTCTGGTTTACTTCCTTCTCAAACATGTACACAGTGTTACTGCCTCTGGCAGCCAGGCTCATGCCATGCCATGCTGGCACATTGCCCACCAGGGTAGCGTAGCCGACTGCTCCGTCTGAATGTGTGTTCTGTCCACGGTGTGGGTGTTGGGGCCCACGGTCGCATCTCTCCAGCAACCTGCTTGGCTAAGTATGCTTTGGCAGTCGCAGCTACTGTGGAAGCGGCTAGTAATTAGATAATTTCCTGCCATTGAGTGTAGGTGTTCTGGGGAAGGGTTTTCGAGTGTTATTAACCTAATTTGATATGTGCCAGCTACGCGCTGTCTGAACTCGAAGTCGTTTCCGTCGGTGCCCGCGACCATTGGACCGCCGCGCGTTGCCATTTCGTTGTCGTCGTATTTCGTTTTTACACGTCGTTGCTTTTATTTTTATAAATAATTGCTGGATATTTTGTTCTTACTTATCGATATACCGTCCGATATATACCGATGAAAAAACGAACTTAGCCCACCTCAGCCCCTCTATTTAAACAGGTCCACAGTTTGAATACAACCGCGGAAAATAATACATCATTATATACCGATATATCGTAAAAATATCCTTAACTCAATTTCGACGTTAAAATATACAGAAAAGTATATACAATACCGTAAATGATAAATAAAGGGGATCGATGTATATACAAGTGATACATCGATATATAGATACAGTGACGAACCAAAGTATTGGCACAAAAGAATATTTTAGGTTGCTGCCGTTTCCAGAGTAAATGCCTAGCATTTTAAAGAATAACTAGTTTAATAAATTCAACAAATTTAAGACTCCCTTAAATCATAGTCACTTAAATATTTAAGTATACTTAATTAATGACAATAATGATATTGATATTTTTTAATGAACAACTACCGTACTGTGCTGTAACGTGACGACTTGCTTCAACAATCGAACGGTTCACTATAAAAGCGCCACTGTGCAAGAAAATCCCGTTTCGGTTACTTTTGAATTTTATTTTGAAATATCACGATTTAAATTAAAGAGGATGCAGATTGCAGATAAAATGTTATCCTGTAAGATGGTAATTAAAAGCAGAAGGAGAGAATTAGGAACGGAACCATCCCATATCATTAGAAATGTAAGATCATAACGTTTGGCTTGGAAACTCGTTGCGACTACGTCAGAGTAAAATTATCATAATTCAGGGCACTTACGAGTAGCATTAGGCAAATTGCATCCAGCTGAAAGCTTTGTCCTCCAATCAGCTTTAGTGCGGTAAGAGTGCTCGCCCGCCCACTGCTTCTTGAACTTAGGCCTATTTCCCCACCTGTTGCACCTAAATCCATAAATCAATCTGGCAGAATAAGGAAAACCCATGGGGAAAGCTGGTTGGGAGGGGAGGGAGGGTCTTTGGGGCATAATGGCGGGATGGTGCATATTTAAAAATAAAATAACGAATTTTGCATTCTTTCTCTGCCGCTCGCGGGCTTTCTTTATGCTCTGCGTCTACAAAAGACGAGCATGCGGACGTGTGTCATCAGTTCTACGGTGCTGTTTCTCCCGCTTGGACGTTGTACACGTACCCGCATGCGATCGGTCGAACTTTAGTGTAGTTCTTTCTGCGTTTTTTCCTTAATGTGCGTTGTTGATAATTTCTGTGCGAATGTTGACGCCAAGCTCGGCAGCTGAGAGTTCGAAATTAAGAGTTTAAACAGCTCCGGAACTTACGGTTTTATCGGTAATTTCCCAAAATAACCCGAACCCTCATAAGATGTGAATGAAATTAATTGCACTTCTGCGCCAAGTCATTGAATATTGTTTGTCTTTCACTGTGGCCGCCACAAAAATTATACGTATGTATATAATATCAGACTTTGTTGTGGGACTGTCCCCTGTCGGGCAGCAGCCCGAAATATACATATGTATGTACATACAATATATGAATACGCCTCGTCTAACGAATAGACTTCCGCGAACCTTGTGATATTTGCCTAAATATTAGAACCTGTCATCGAAATCGAATCGATCAACTGCTTAAGATAAGCGACTTCTACAATATTCACAATAACAATAACTTTAATCCCTTTCTTCGATTTATTTTCTTTGCAGTTGCGGTCGCCCCATCATCCTATCCCCAGTGATACCTTGAGACCCACCCAAGCATAAGTATATCCCATCCGTTGCCATGTCTGCCAATGACAAACGCGCTTCCTTCGCGCGCCGCGCCGAAAGCCTGGTTGAGCGGGTGAGAATTATGAATGCCATTTACGAGGTACTGGTATCAAGTGACCACAAATCGTGAGATATATGATTCTGTTCTGTTTGTTGTGGCTTCCCCCCAGTAGAGTTCTGTATGTATGCACCTGGCTACCTCATTCCCTTCCTTACTTGAATCTATTTGGCCAAAGTCATGTGCTGTGCGCTTGCTTGGCTCGTATGTCATCGCTCGGGCGGAAAATGTATTTCACACTTTCACACAATTCAAAACAAAGCAAAACGAAAAGACGGACGGCGTGGAAAAGTACAACACTACGAGTATCCGTACAGCAGGCCTGCCCCTGCCACTGAGCAGAGGCATATCGATATTTATTTGATTAGTGGCAAATTGCTCGTGGGCGGGGGTCAGACACTCAGGTCACGTACCGTAAGGCCTCTGGTGTGCGCGTATGCTTGGCTCGGCTCGTCTGCTTTAATTAATCTAAAATACATACATACATTGTACACATCGGCCCAATAAGTGGGGCCAAAATGTACTCGGATCAAGGTCACAAGAATGCTTGCCGCTATCACAAGAGTGATTGCTGGCCTTTTACGGGTGTGTGCCGTTGACGCTAATGCTTTTGTGGCTGTGGCTGTGGCTGTGGATGTTGCTTTAGGCAATGCCATGCCCGGAACGGGACAGAGAAACTGCTTGTCTGTTGGACCCAAATACAGGGGACGGGATACTCCTGAGCTAGGAAACGAACCATTTGGTACACTACTCGTTTTGACTGACTTGCAGACTGCTTTTTATTGGGTTAGTTGAATGAACTTAAAACTCTTCATAAGATAGAAAAGGGGAAATTTCTCAATAGCTCGGCTTGAAACTACACTGCACTGCGATAGGGACAGCAATTTTAGCTTAAATCAATACTGAATCAATACTTCGACTTAGCTAAAAAAAAATGTGCCAATTTGACATATTTGACCCCAGTGACCATCTATTTCTCCTCATTATTGAGCGTACATTGAAAATACACATATACTATACATATGTATGTATGTACGTGTAGCAGTCTATATAGTACGTTTACCCAATTATTCGGAACTTCTGTGCAATGCATGCCATATATCCATGTTCGTAGGGTATTAACAAGTCATTGCTCGCCGAGCTCTTCCGTTGTCGGGCTAAAAATAAATGTCCCAATGCGAATACCCGATCCGAAATTGCGTGGTCATTGTGGCAGTGGCGGGGGCTGTGGCTGTGCTTATGTGCATCTACGGAACTGCAGCACAATGGAATTCCAACAGAAGAACAAACTAATTTGTCAGGGACCGACTGGTAGAGTGAAATAATTGAACGACAGCGAAGAGTTACATCGGAGTATGGACTGACATTTACTCGTATTCCACGTCCATTAATTAAGCGGGTTAACCAAGGCACACACAGATACACGACTAAGTACCCATACACCCAAGCCACGAGCAATATCCCGAGTTCATTGTACCACCGAGCAATGTCCGACCCATTTCAATCCGTCTCTGTGTCTTTGCGAGAGCGTAAAAATGCCTGTGTAAAACATACTCATAAACATTTGAACATTCATGCGAGTCCCATTTGCAGATATGGCAACGAGACCGAGAAGTCCCTCAAAAATAACCCTGATAAGCAGTGTGTGTCCATATCACAGCTCACGCTTTAGTTTTTAGTCGAAAGGCCCAGTATTTTTACTGATTTTCGCACAATAATAATTATTAATCGGGATATACGAGTATGTATAAATCTTATATGACCTATAATTAACTAAATAGAGCTAAAGGTGTGGCAAAGGTACCTTCAACCTTAATGTGTCCGCGACTTCTTCGCCGAAAGAGTGTCCCATCTGCTGTCATATTTGAATAAATGCATATATCATGTATCAATCAATGAGGAATTTTGCCCAAATGCACTTTCAGCTCACTTTTTGTAGATTTTACTATTTTAGATAACAAATCTAAAAAATGTAAATTTTATTTTCTTTGTTGGCCACGAAAGAGAAAGAAGAATAAATATAATATTTATAAATGTATCTCGTCATTCTTGCTGTGAAAACGATTCGATTGTGACGGCTTTTGGCAGTTCGTAAAATTTTAAATACTCCCCAGAAATGCTCTGATAATACTTGATTCTCCTTATTCTGCAATAAATTGATTATATTTCTTGCCCTGCTTATCAGTATTTTGCATTTTCATAGGTACCAAATTGTCGAATTCGGCGGACTGTTGTCCGTTGATGCCACTTTTCTTGTTGTTGTGGCTAAATATAGACCCGTGGTAAAAATATTCCCTTCGTTTGAATTGTCGGGGGCTTTCAACCTCACCCCCACCCCCACCCCCAAACGGACGAGGTGTTCTTAAGTATTGCAAAGTAGAGGAATTAAAAATGTTAATTGAATTTTCGGGGCTACAGAGGCCCGTAATTCGTTTAGGGGCAGTGGGTGGGGTGGGGAGAGGCAATGCCTCTTCGGGGTGGGATAGATATGTATATTTGAATTCCAATTTGGTCGAGTGGAATCCGGTGGAGATGGTGATTATGCTTATCAATCAGCTGGGGAATTTGGGTGACCAACAAGTTCATTTGCATTCCATTCGGATTCCGCTCCCCTTATAGCCACCCCCCGCATGGCTGATCGATGTCTTTATCAGGCTTATGCCCGTGAATGCTTGTACTCCCACGAACGATTGTGTTTTCCTCCTTATCGACGGCTTGGGAATTGCGCCGAACAGTCCAAAAATAGCAGAAAAAAAAAACGCAAATACGAGAGTCGCGACGCGAACATAACGAGCAAAATAAATGAACGATAAAAAGCTAATAAAGAGCAGCATAAATAAATGCGTAAATATCGAGCAAGAATTCATCTTGGAGGCGGGGAAAGCTCGTCTCGGTGATTGGCTGCTGCTCAGGGGGCGGAGGAGGAGGGAGCAAGTCGCTGTGCGTGCGGTACTGGATGCTGATTGCTTTCTGTTAGCACTTGCCACACTGTCATCCTTCGGCTGTAGGCCTTCCTAACACGTGTGTTTGTGTTGCCATTTGGGCCTAAGTGTTCCTGCCTGCTCCGCCAGGCTCCACTTCCTTCAACAGCCTCCTTAACCGGTCTGACTGCGGCTCCTTCCCTCAGAAAGTGTAAATGTTTGCATACAGTTTATGCAGTGCTTTTAAAGACAGTTTTGAAGTATACAAATTAACCTTATGCACAGGATTCTTCGAAA